TCCGCTTGATTATATTCCGATGACATATTATGGTTAATTGATGAAAAATAGGCTCTAATTGTGATATGTATACATTGCAGGATGATGAGCCTAAATGATGCTTTCAAGAGGAGATTGGAATGATTTATGAGCAAGAACAACCCCTAGGAGTCGAGTGTGCGCAAGGACGAGACAGAAAAATGGACAAAATCGAGCTACTGAAGTGCGCTAAGTATTGTGCTAACTTTCAAACTTCGCGCGATACTTCGCGAGATTTCCAGAAGAAGTGCGCTAAGTATTGCGCTAACTTTCAAACTTCGCGCAATAGTTCGCGAGCTTTTCTGCCTGGAATCCAGAAGAAGCACGCGAAGTATTGCGCGAACTACATACATCGCGCACTTGTTCGCGCGTTTCCGATCCGGAGAAACGTTATTTAGGGGTAAAATTGGAATTCCTTCTTAATCCCACTCAACTTACATAAAGCAAAAGCTCCATTATTAAGAGAACAGATTTTGAGGGGAGTAAGTGCAAAAATACTATTCATCCTTGAGAGAGAAAGTGAAGGAGGAGCTTCATCTTGGAGCTAAGAAAGGAGAAGAAGAACAACATCTTGGAGAAGGATTTAAAGAGTTCTTTCAAACTTTCTTCTTGTTGCTTGTTAATATTATGTTTAAAACTTTTATTGTTGATTTTTGTATGATTATGAGTAGCTAAAAACTTTAATATTCTTGGGTCATAGATGTTAGATGATCTTGTTGTTTGAAGCTTAGATTGAAGATCTTGAATCTAACGTTATGAGTTGTTTATTTGATTCTGCTTCTAATTATTTTACTGCATAGCTAACAGTGAAATATTATTTACGAATCTTGAATTAAACTTGAAAAAGGAAATTCTTGGTTGCATATAGAATCAAATAGAGCAAGATCCGGATCCTGGGCATCGGGTGAAAGATTCGCAATTAAGATAGACATATACTTAATTGCCTTGCTTGGTTGAAAAATAGGAGTTGTAAATGCATTTGAGTTAATATTAATACCATAGACATATAAGTATTAGGTTAACCTGAATAGATGCATAAGAACTCGAAAGATTCTTATGAATATTATTAACCCTATAATCAATAACCCGGATAATTCAAGAATTCAATCTTAAGCTAAAATAGTAGCATGATCTCTAGCAAGTCCATGACCCTGGAATATCTTTACCCAAATTGTTATAAAAATATTGTGTAATTGGTGTAGTAATTTTGTATTGAATTATTGTTTAATTACTAGGTAAATTGTAAATTGATTCTTTATATATTTTGTGATAATTTAGCTTGAATTGATAATTGTTTGAGTCTACATCAGTCGAGAAGTTGATCACAATTCCTCGTGGGAACGATACTCTACTCACTACTATATTACTTGTCGATCGCGTACACTTGCATGAGTGTTTCGGTCGCAACACAAGCCTAATTCTACACCGAACCTCCAAAACCAATTCCGATCACACTCCTAAGTCATAAATCACCTCTCGAAACTAACCGAACCATCAGAACTCACATCCGAGCTCTCTAACACATAAGTCAACACCCGGTTGACTTTTCCAACTTAAACTTTCTTAAAAGAGACTAAATGTCTCATTTCTTACCAAATCCACCCCCGAACACAAACTAATCAACTCGATCACATAAAACGCGGATAACAAAACATAAAGAAGCAGGAATGGGGGAGGGGGAGGGGAGAAACGGAGCGGTAACTCATGAGACGACTGGCCGGGTCGTCACAAACTTCTATGCTTACTCTTTGAATTAATTCAACACCATCCATTTAGAAAAATAATACAATAATATTTGTATTATACATACACACTAATTGGGAAAAAGTTAAAATTTTGATAAACATGAACTAATGTATAAAGAGGAGAATAGATATAATATGATTCTATCCACAATTTAAATTTATTTGATAAAATTAAGTAAACAAATAATACTTAAAAATATTGTTGATAGATCAATAAATAGAATAGTTGACAACGATATTAGGCCCCGTGGCACTTTTAGGACAAAATCTAATAAGATTTAGGATAAAGTCTAATAATATTTAGAATAAAATATAATAGAAATTAGCACAAAATCTACTAAGAATTACCAATAAATATTTTGAATTGATAATTTGAGATTATGCCAAGTGGCAAGCTAATAAAAAGCTACTTGATAATTTTAAAATAATATATGTTAGACTATGTAATAAAAATAAATTTGAATTGAAAGATAAATTTTTGAATCTATAGATAAGGATTTTAGATTGGATTGAAATATAAAAAAGATTATTTTGAATTAAATGATGTCTTTTTAAAAAACAATGACAACAATGGTGAAATATATTATTTAAACAAAAGTTTTCAATGAGTACATGCAACATTTTCCATATGTTATAAGGTTTTCGAATTTGGGCTAAAATATAAAAAAGTTATTTTAAATGGAAATATAAATAATTTTAAGAAAAACATGTATAATGATGGTAAAGGACATTATTTTAAACAAAGAATTTCAATTAATGAACGTAATGTTCTTCTAAAACTATGAGTGTAGTATTACGATAACTTATAAGAATGTTTAAGAATCTTATAAAGCAATTAACTAAAATTTATTTTATTTCTCCAACAATAACATTATATCATTTTTGACCAAAAAATTATTGTAGTATCATTTTGACTAGAAGTAATATNTGTATATGTATATGTATGTATATGTATATGTATGCACACACATAAAAGTAAGAATATAACATCGATATTTATAATCCACATATCTAATTGAAAGCTATAAGATTTCATAAAATAACTAAATAAGTAAGACCTATAAATCGAGTTATTGAATTAACAGAAAACGAGTTGAATAAAAATCCCAATAATAATTCTGATTCTATCTAAGTCAAAATACCTTTAATCCAATCGAAGATAATTTTCACATTATTTTTTTAATTATTAAAAGACATGACATTATTTTTCTCATATGAGGCTATTCTAGATATACATCTCTTTACAAAAGAATAACTTTATGATCTTCGTTACAAGGACGAAATTGAAGATTTTAATGATGATGATTACGATGACATGATGATCAAATAACAAATGAAGTTAGAAAAATACAAAATCAAGCATTTTTAGATTCATTTAATTATAATATATTCTTATTTGAGTTGAATCGTGTTCTATTTTTAGATTGCGTGGAGCACAAACTATATAATTATTTCACCTGTCTTATTTATGCGGCACTTTTTTCCTTTTTAGTCTATAAAAAAGAATATCACTTTTCCTTACTTAGAAATAATTTATCCGTAGAATTTATACTTTACCCCTTAATGAATTGATTATAGGCATACAAATATTTATGGTTTATTTTAGACCACACGTTTTAAAAGTCTTTCTTTATTTTTTACTAACTCTAATACTGCCAGATAAATTGAAAAGAAAGGAGTATGATATTTTGATATCATCCCAGAGTTATACGATGATTATATGATTTGTTTAATTTAGTTACATATATTTTTATTATAAGGGTACTTACAACGAGATAAGACGATAACTATAATTTTGTTAAAATGTATCCAAACAAATCAGATCATGAATGTTTGATATGATTAATATTTTTTAATAATAATACTAGTTGTTCTTAATGTGATGGCAAGTGGGTAAGCAGGTAGAATATGGAAATTGCAAATTCATGATCAAACGAGACTTCAAAGGTCAGCGAATGAGGAAAGATGGTAATATTCTAACCTGTTTGCGTGGAAGAAATACTTGACACAAATCTTGTGTTTGTTATTTCTCCCGTGATTAGCACGTCAGCAATATTCTATAAATTTTAACAGTTTTTTTTTTTTTTTGCATTTTCTTTAGTTCTAGGATTTTGGACTAAAAGTGCTAGTTTTTACAAACATGAAGGACTTTATTTGCCTCTAGAGGTATCTAACAAGCGCCATAGTAATCCTCACACATACATAATGGACCATTTTAATTTGTTTTCTCGGTTTGGGGCCTCAATTTATGCTTATGATAGCTATTTATTGCAGAAGTGTGACTGCGAATAAGTTTGATGGCAACTCAGGAATTTGAGGCGTTGACCAACAATGCTGGAAGGGAATGGGGGAACTTACATTCAAAGAATTGATGATGCTGATCTTATTTCCCCCAATATTCTCACCCGGAAAATTAATCAATTAAAACTATAAAATTTCTTCCCCAACCGAGAAGCGGAAAAAAAGACAGAAAAATAGAGGATCTTTCACCTGGATATTTTTTTCTTTTTCTGTTTTAGGGGCGAGCACTATAAATTTGATGCTTTAGTGGTTAAATAAGGAAATTTGATAATGTTGATAAGTTTGAGTTGGTTGTTTTGCAGTTCTGGTACTACTCACCTCGCCTCAGGGGAAGCCAAAGTTTGTTACTTTCGATGATGAATTGATGGAGCACTCTGCCATGTAGATATTCAAGACCTCTTTTGCTTTTACGAACAGGTAATGCTGTTTTCGGTTTACTTATTAATATTCCACAATTTCTATGCTTGAATATGAGTATTATCATGGCTGAGGTTGAGTTGGAGATTTGTGTATGATAAGGGCTTTTATGTTGGGAACTTCTAATAGTTAAACAATTTCACATAGTTCAGGGACAGATTTGGACTTTTCCCTTATTAAGATTTACATTTCTTTTTTAAAAAAGGGCAGTCCAGTGCACGAAGCATCCCTCGTTTGGTCCGGGAAGGGCCTCACCAAAAATGCAATAACCAATCAAGGCAAAGGGGTACTTACAATCCGGTAACAACTTTGTACCATTTTCAAAGAAACTAAGAAATGGAGTTATAAGAAAGTGCGAAATTCAAGTAATAATATAGATTGGTTATTTCTAATTACAAGATATAATTTGTTATGCCTAGTAGATATTGCTGTATATTTCAAGAACCAAAGTTTCAAGTTTTTTTCAAAAATATTATTCATGTGCACACAAGTCAGAATAGTTAACTCATTCGCACTCTATCGAGGATATAACAATGTGATTGTGACTTCATTTTTTGAACTGGCTGTCTGCGATCCTGATTTTGCTTCATCAAATATGTTTCTTTCTGTGAAATACCCTGGTTCTTTAGCTTCTGGCAGAGGACTCTCATTACCCAACATCAGAACCACAGAAGACATGTTTGGCCTGTCTTCTGGACGTTGTTGCACACATAAAAGACCTACTTGGATTGACCTTAAAACTTGAGATATATGGCAAGAATCAGCTAGCTCCTCATCAATTAGTTCCAAGGACCTATCTTCTTTGTAAAGCTTCCATGCCTGTTTGAGTTTTGATCAGGGATCTAATAAATTCCATGCGTTGTACAGAAAGAAAATGAGTTATGTATGTGTAATACAGACTATATATAGAGTGCTTACATGACCGAGAAGGTTAAGGTTGTGATCTTGATGGACAAATCCTCTATTTTTCTTGCAACTCACAATTTCTAACACCAAGACGCCAAAGCTAAACACATCAGATTTTACTGAGAAGATCCCATCTACTGCATATTCAGGGGACATGTAGCCACTGTGCCGAAAAAAAAAACACAATGTATACTAAAGAAGTGTGATGTCATATGAGAGTACTTTGTATGAAATTAGAGATTCTTACTGTGTCCCAACCACATGGCTTGTGTTTGCTCCCATCTCATTCCCTGCAACACTTCTAGCCAAGCCAAAGTCTGATATCTTTGGATTCATTTCTATATCTAGCAAAACATTGCTTGCTTTGAGGTCTCTATGGATAATTCGTAGTCGAGAATCTTGATGGAGATACAATAAGCCACGAGCAATTCCATTTATGATGTCGAAACGCTTTGGCCAGTCAAGTAATTTGCTCTTTGTTTGATCTACAGAATAAGCTTTATGATTAGCTATTCTGTTAACGTGCTTTTGCCTTGGTCATAAATGTACATGTTATGACTAATACGACAAAGCATTATTACTAATTTTAGCTTGTGTAATAGGCAAGAAATCAAACCAAATATGTATGTATCCAGGCTTTTGTTAGGCATGTATTCATAGATCAACATCTTTTCTTCCCCTTGTATGCAACA